TAACATTAACTAATTTAAAATTGGTTAAATACTAAATTTTTTCCCTCAACTTTAGTGAGTTGCACATTTTTGGTCTCTCAACAATTTTTTGCACTTTTTTGATCCCTTAACTATACGAAATGCACTCCATTAGTCCTTTTATCAATTTGGGCCATTAACTCAGCCACATGACATTTTTTATTTTTTTTTTATGACGTGGCGAAAACAACTTAAAAAGGTGCTGATTTGAACTTTTTTTGATGACATATCATCTTCCTCTCTCATTTTCACTCTTTGCAAAATCAATCTAACTCATATCTTCTTATTCTCTTAATGCTCTCTCATGTCCACTCCATCTGCAGAATCGATCTTAACCCATTTCTTCTTCTTCTCTGAATACTCTCTCATCTCCACTCCATCTACAAAAGCGATTTTAACCCATTTCTTCTTCTTCTCTTTTCTTAGAAGAACTTGAGAAATTTGGAATTCTTTGTCATTGAACCCAGCTACTGGATTTTATTGAAACCTCAAATCTAACAGATCTTATCAAATCAAATTAACCCTTCAATAAACAATATCAATCAAACTCTAATCAAGTTCCAACAAAAATACAATCAAACTCTAATCAAATTCCAACAAAAATGTAATCAAATTGTAAATCAACTCCCAAATTTATTAACAACTGAGAATGAAAATCGAAAGAATAATGAAAAAACATGAACCCAACGTTGAAACAGCAAGGTTGGTTCATGCGACCAGCAGGGCTGGGTTCGTCGGAACCCAGCCGATCTTGGTCTTGACAAGACCCAGCTTTGCTTGGTTCGAGGAAACCTAGCCATGTTGGGTTCGACGAGACCCAGCCATCGGAATCCAGCCTGGTGGAGACCCAGGGTATGAAAGAAAGAAAGAAAGAAAGAAAGAGAAAGAAAGAAGGGGAAGAAGAGGGATTGGGAAGGTGAGGATAATAAGGTAAATTTATTTGTTTTTAATTAAAATATAAATATTAATCTACGTGACATTTTTATTTATTTATATAACATAATTATAATATATATTATTGTCACATCATCAAAAAAATTAAAAGACAATGTCACATGAAATTATTTAACTGTCACATCATATTTAATTGACGGAGGGACCAAAACTGTGCAATTTTTAGAGTCGAGGGATCGAAAAAATGTAAAAATTTATTAAGAGATAAAAAATATGCATTTCATAAAGTTGAGGGACTAAATTTAGCATTTAACCTTTAAAATTAAATCATAATAAATCCCATAAAAAATTTTAATTTCTATTATTGTAGTTATTAAATTTAAATTTAAGACTTTATTTAAATATTATTTTTTTCCAAATATATGACTTTATTTTATTTAAGTTAAAAATTGCACAATCAAATAAGTTAAAAATCTCGCTCAAATATCAAATCCCTTGTTATATAAGCATGACATGGCAATATTTTGCCATCCAAGCAGCCAAGCGAGTGTGTCCTAAACGGCAATTAAGCCAGCCGAGCGAGTCCCAATCGACAATTAAGTTGGCGTAAAAAGAAGGGCTTAATTGCTTTGATTGTAGAGTTCAACCGTCAACGGCTTATGTACATCAATTAAAGTCTATGAGCTTAATAGTGATTTTGGGTTTAGCTCAGGGGCTTAACTTATGGTTTTCCCCACCTAAATTCTAAAAATCGTAACCATGTATTTTTCTTTATTTGTTTGCCCCATCCAGCACGTGTTTGTACTTTGTATGGTTCTGTAGCAATATTATTTGTTTGTAGTGCCTTGCACGACTTTGAAAGGCTCTTTTTATTTATTTATTTTTTTTCTGAAGTGGGCAACATATATAGACCATGAAGGACCTCTTTTTTTGTTTGCAAAATTCTACATTAAGGCCTGAGTTTACTTTAAATTCTTGATTAAATTGCTTAATTTTTATTGAAATAAATAAACTCATAACTTAAAGATCTAGATAATTTAATATCTCTTTTTATAGTTACTTACATAAATAAAATATCAGCATATTTTTTATCTATGTGATAAATATTAATCTTATTTATGTAAGTGAAATATAAATAAGTATTAAATTTGTCATGAAAAAGATAATTAAATTGTCTAAATTAATTAGTTTATAAGTTTATTTACTTTAATAAAAGTATAGGGACTTAATCAAGAATCTAAGACAAATTTGAAGGCTTAATATAGGGTTTTGTCCATTTTTATTTCTTGAAAATGGTGAAGGGTCTATTTATGCACATTCTTTGGTGGTAAGGTCAGGGCACATACCACCTAGGGTAGGCCCCACCTTTTATATTTAATTAATAATATTTTATTTTCAATTTTAGAAAAAAAATAAAAAACCCCTTGGTTTATAGGTCAGGCGCAGACTTCCCTAATTTAGTAATTTTACTTACTTGCCATAGGTCATCTCTTTTTTTTGTAATAAAAATTAAAAAGATATGGTCCTCCATCCATATATAGAATTTGTTAAATTTCGATTTTTAACCATAATTTTAAGAATTTAGTATTTTGCAATCTTAATTGTATTAAATTATTAAATATTAATTATTAAATA